TGTTGTGGCATCTGCTGTTTGGGGGGAATGAAAGTCGATGAGTGGACTTGTGACTTTGAAGTCACCTCATTTTCTTGTCTGCTTGGTAGCAAAACTGAAAGTGTTTCTGCTTAGCGACATATTTTAGATCTCACCCTTTATGTCTCATTCATGATTCGGAAGTCACGGCCCTTCGGAGACCCTGGACACACAGAGGTGTCTGGTGGAAGTGGTTAATCCTCCCTCTGTTGGACTGTAAATTATGCTGAGGTTGTTCAAGTAGATCCCGCGCTCCAATGGAGAGTCCTTGCTTCATCCAGCCCCAGCTACTCCATGGTGCGCAGCTAAACAAATAATACAACCTTGATCTTGTTTGACCAGTTCCTCCACACTTTTGTTTTCCCTCTTGCTGCCGGCTAATCTTCAATCAGCAGGCACCTCCCCATAACAAGTGGAATGGCTGCGTGTAACCTGAATTGCATCGAGTTGCTTAAGTCCTTTTGATTCTGAACCAGATTGGTTCGCACAGAAAGCCATCATGGTGCCTGGAATGTGGGTCCTCCTTCTGCCCACATTAACTCAATCAGGCAGCTTCCCTTTGCTGAATACTGCAGGTCTCAGTTCTTGTTGAAAAGACCTACTGACCACATTACTTAAGTTTACACCCTGTAATCCTGAAAATAGACTCAAAACTGGTAGCTTTGCTCTTTTTCTTTTGTGCATGCAAGATTATTCAGAAGGAATTTAGTCCAATAAATAAAACCCAATTCTACCCATAAGAACTTATGTTCTGTCTGTTTCCTCTAAGGCTTGTACATTATGACCCAGCCTCCCAGTTCCATGAGTCAAGGAGAAGAGAGATCCCTTTTATTTAAATACTAGAGGCTCAGTGCATGAAATTTGTGCACTGGGCGGGGGGAGGGGGGTGTTCCTCAGCCTGGCTTGAGCCCTCTCCCATCCGGGAGCCCTCGGGGGATGTCCAACTGATGGCTTAGGCCTGCTCCCCCTAAGCCGACAGTTGGACATCCTTAGCTCTGCCGGGGAGGCGGGAGAGGCTCCCACCACCACAGCTACGCTTGCCAGCCATGAGCCTGGCTTCTGGCTGAGCAGCGCTCCCCTGGTGGGAGCGCACTGACCCTCAGGGAGCAGCTCCTGCATTGAGCATCTGCCCCCTGGTGGTCAGTGCACATCATAGCGAGCGGTTGAGTGGCCTTAGCATATCATTAGCATATTACACTTTGATTGTCTGAACGAATGACTGGATGACCAGACACTTAGCATATTAGGCTTTTATTATATAGGATATTTTACTTAAAACTCTTCTAGAAATATGCTGAAATGTTAACAGTGAAAACAAAGGCAAACTCTAATTGAGAGATGGAGACCTGAGCCAAAGGGCTATTTTGCTCATTCCTGGTTGATGGAACAATCTGTTTTAATGGGCCTGAGGCTACGGGATATCTTTGAGTTTATTTTCTGAATGTTTGTTGGGTACAAATAACTCAAGGAGGAGTCACATATCATTACCCAGGATTTATTCTAGGGGAGAGCTAGAGGTTTTCTCAGTGGAAACTAAACAATCAGGACTCTGTATTTGGTTTCCATGGTCGGTGAGTCCCTATGGAAGGCATTCAAGCTTTTGGGCCAGGATGAGTTGCATGCTGTTTACTGGTGGTCAGGAGTTACTGGCTGGATCATAGAAGGCAGAAAGTGGGAGGGGATTGTAGGAACATGGTACTTAGAGCATGGCTTCTTTATCTCCACTACTAACCCTGCCCATCTGCCTCCCCTTTCACCACCCCCCCCGAGTCAAGTAGTGGCTGGGGCTTTACAGGACTGGGTGGTAGGGAGGCCCATATGGTTTTAGGAATAAACCAATGCAGAAAACTGGTGTGAGGCCTGTCTCCTGTTCCCCCCCCCCCCCAGTCAAGTAGTGGCTGGGGCTTTACAGGATTGGGTGGGAGGGAGGTCCATGTGGCCTTAGTAGTACACCAGTGCAGAAAACTGGTGTGAGGCCTGTCTCCCGAGGGTTGGACAAGTTCCTGAGGCCAGTAGGTAGAGCTAAGCCTGCAAAGATTCCTACCCCCCTCAGCCCACCAGCCACAGGGAAGTTTTACATATAAAAACTAAAATACCGTCCTAGCCTGTTTAGCTCAGTGGATAGAGTGTCGGCCTGTGGACTGAAAGGTCCTGAGTTCCATTTGGGTCAAGGGCACGTACCTTGGTTGCAGGCTCCTCCCTGGCCTGGGCCCTGGTTGGGCTTGAGCAGGAGGCAACCAATCGCTGTGCTTCTCTCACATGGATGTTTCTCTCTCTCTTTTTCCCTCTCTCTTTCCCTCTCTCTAAAAACCAATGGAAAAATATCCTCAGTGAGAATTTAAAAAAATGAAAACTAAAATGCCTTCTAACTCAAAGGTTTTCGCCTACAATAATGATGTTTCTAGAGATTCAGTTTTCCCTCAAGAAGAAAGGACTTCATGACTTGTAACTGAAATAGAAAAAGGGTTGCTCAGATAGTCAGCTCTCTCAAAAGACTCTGTGTGTGTGTGTGTGTGTGTGTGTGTGTGCAACCAAAGCTTTCAGTTGGGAAGAATATGTTGCTCGTTGTTATACAATTTAACACTCTTTGTAACTTAAGCTCACCTCGTGGCTTCCTGCAGCCAGGGTGCCGAAATGTTTGTCTCTACAGACAACTTGCTGGTGAAAATCAGTTTGTTCTAACTCTGCTGGGATAGATATGCTGTTTCCAAGCCCTCCTTAGATAGGCCTACATTCCATGGATTGAGTAGTCTGGGGTATTGGGACACTTGGATTTTGGTTCTCATTCTGGCCCTAGGTAACTATGTGATTTAGGGAATTGCATATTATTTATAAAATGGCAGGAAAGAAGGGACATGGGACACAGGCTAGAAACAGGCCTTTCCTACCCTACACAATTCATTTCCATAGAAACAACTGAGCGGGTTGTTCTCAAATATGAGTACTAATCAAATCAGGGAGAATCGATCAAGTCATGGTGATGTGGTCTCTACATGAAACGAAGTTTTAGTAACACAGGGGCTCTAGAGGCAATTTGTGTAGGATTTGTAAATGTAAACTTTGATGTAATGCAATACTACCAAATATTTTTATACTGCTGTCTTCGCCTTCTTATAAATCTCTGGACTGAGAGATTTCATTATACTGACTGCTTTGAGCTCCTATCTTATTCAATGAAATTACTGGAAGATCAGATAGTGTCTCCTACCCTTTGTTCCAGTGACGAGTCAGTTATATGGGAGATAGTTTGTGGAGAGCCATTTCTAAAAAACAGGTTTGAATTTCAAGGAAATTGACAAAAAAAATTAACCTAAGTGCAGATATTTTAAAAAACCTTGAAACTTTTTTTTATAACCAACAAGTAAATGGGGATAATTTTGCCATTACATAAACTTAACTTCAATAAACTAAAAACTGAACTGCAACAAGCATAATTCAACCACATTATTTTATTGAAAATGAAAAATATACAGAAATATTAATTTAAAATTTATAAACTTTTAAAAATGAACAGTATTTATAAACATTTGAAAAATAGAAAACTTCATGACCACAGAGTTCATTCAAAATATCTGAGAACATTTCACATATATTCATATAAATTACTTTTCCACAAAGTTTGGTTGGAATGTGAAGATTGCAGTTAGTTCAATTTTATTAGTTTTATTAAGAAGAATAAAATATTTCTGTCGGAATCCTTTTGTATCGGTTTGTGTTGAGATAGTATAATGATGGAATTCATTTTCTGAGTTACTTAAAAGACTGTGTGTGTGTGTGTGTGTGTGTGTGTGTGTGTGTGTGCAACCAAAGCTTTCAGTTGGGAAGAATATGTTGCTCGTTGTTATACAATTTAACACTCTTTGTAACTTAAGCTCACCTCGTGGCTTCCTGCAGCCAGGGTGCCGAAATGTTTGTCTCTACAGACAACTTGCTGGTGAAAATCAGTTTGTTCTAACTCTGCTGGGATAGATATGCTGTTTCCAAGCCCTCCTTAGATAGGCCTACATTCCATGGATTGAGTAGTCTGGGGTATTGGGACACTTGGATTTTGGTTCTCATTCTGGCCCTAGGTAACTATGTGATTTAGGGAATTGCATATTATTTATAAAATGGCAGGAAAGAGGGGACATGGGACACAGGCTAGAAACAGGCCTTTCCTACCCTACACAATTCATTTCCATAGAAACAACTGAGGGGGTTGTTCTCAAATATGAGTCCTAATCAAATCAGGGAGAATCGATCAAGTCATGGTGATGTGGTCTCTACATGAAACGAAGTTTTAGTAACACAGGGGCTCTAGAGGCAATTTGTGTAGGATTTGTAAATGTAAACTTTGATGTAATGCAATACTACCAAATATTTTTATACTGCTGTCTTCGCCTTCTTATAAATCTCTGGACTGAGAGATTTCATTATACTGACTGCTTTGAGCTCCTATCTTATTCAATGAAATTACTGGAAGATCAGATAGTGTCTCCTACCCTTTGTTCCAGTGACGAGTCAGTTATATGGGAGATAGTTTGTGGAGAGCCATTTCTAAAAAACAGGTTTGAATTTCAAGGAAATTGACAAAAAAAATTAACCTAAGTGCAGATATTTTTAAAAACCTTAAAACTTTTTTTTATAACCAACAAGTAAATGGGGATAATTTTGCCATTACATAAACTTAACTTCAATAAACTAAAAACTGAACTGCAACAAGCATAATTCAACCACATTATTTTATTGAAAATGAAAAATATACAGAAATATTAATTTAAAATTTGTAAACTTTTAAAAATGAACAGTATTTATAAACATTTGAAAAATAGAAAACTTCATAACAGAGTTCATTCAAAATATCTGAGAACATTTCACATATATTCATATAAATTACTTTTCCACAAAGTTTGGTTGGAATGTGAAGATTGTAGTTCAATTTTATTAGTTTTATTAAGAAAAATAAAATATTTCTGTCGGAATCCTTTTGTATCAGTTTGTGTTGAGATAGTATAATGATGGAATTCATTTTCCCTTGAGTTACTTAAAAGGAGCTACTGTGACACACATTGAGAAAAGATGAAGAATGTATGAAAACTGGCAACTAATGGTCCTTACCTATCTAGTAATAAGACTTAAGAATTAAGATGTTGATTCAAAGAGAACTAAATTTTATTAATTGTCTCATCTATCAGACATGATGTAGGATGCTTTCCATGTATTGAATTTAGTACCCTTAAAATAAAAGAAAGGTGTTAATTTTATGTTACTAAAGCTAAACAGTTTTATGAATATTTTGCAATCTGAACTAAAAATAAAATCATTAACCATTAACCTAAGAATACAATTTACAAGACCAAAAATAAAATGAAAGTATTATGTTTACAGAATTAGGAAAAGCTTTCAATTTGGCTGTGTGAGGACAACTTTGTAATCCTTAACAACACAAGTGCAGATATTCACATAATAAACCTTCAGATATCATCGATATGAGATAAAGAAAGTGTATATTTTAAATATATACATATATGAAACTTCCAGTTAAGACTAACATGGTTAGTCTGAAAATGGGGATCCGGCTATTTATTCCTCCTCAGACAATATATCCCTATTTGGAGAAATTTATTCTGAGTTTAAGGTTTGCAATAACATTTTAGTTTTTCAATGCATATTGAAGAAGCCCACCAGGGATTTTTAGAGTATGTGAAATATTTCATTGTTTCTCAACATATTTCAACTCGTTAAAATTTTCTCAGTCTTTCTCCCGGGCTTATATGTCAACACCAGTTTATTTTCCAACCCAGGGTACACATGGTTCTTGTGTTCCAAGAACCTTCAACCTGAACACAATACACCAAGGGCAAAGCTTTGTAACAGGTGACATTTAAGAAACATCTGACACTGAAATTCACAGCCTCAGTGAATTTCCTCACCAAGAAGGATAAACCAATAAAGTTTTCAATAGAAAAAAAAAGTAAAACCATGTCTACATTTTTCAAACACTACCTTTTCCTACAAATTTGTGTTCATAGCTTATATATCTGATATACAATTACAGAGAAATAGCAGTCAACAGAGTAAACACATATTTGATCTGAGGTATCAACCCATGTATCTTCCATGGGTTATCAGTTTTCAGAAATTTAGAACACACTGAGTTGCACTCAACACTAAACTGCTGAAGAGATGATAACAGTACTTTAGGACTTGGCAGTCACCTCAGGTTGTCACTGTGAAATCAGTGATAGTACAGTAGAACTGATGAAGTGCTAACATCAGTTTAACAGAATTCTGAATAACAGAATTGTCTATTATTACCCAGGGTAGACATGAGCTAGATTGCAAACAAACAACATCACAGACCTTCGATGTTAGAAAAGATAAATCCAGTTAACCAGGAGGGTTTTTCTTTTTTGAATGTCACAGTTTTTTTGGGTTAGGATTTTTGTTTTGTTTTGAGAAAAGTAAGTTTAGAAGGCAGCTAATTTCTTCTTTTCTATTAAATCAACGAGTGATCAGAAATCTGTCCATAAACATGAAAGGCCACCAAAAGTGTTATTCCTGCTATGCACTTGAGACAGGAACACTTTATGTAAGTTTCAATACAAAAATTTTTTTTCTGGTAGTAGTTCCTGAGGTCTTAATATTTTGTTTTCTAGGAAGCTAACTCCCCTTCTTATTCTTCCAAAACACTTATAGGTAAAATATACGGCAAACATGGTCAGCGTGAGAGCCAACAGAAAGAGACAATCTACCAATTATTGTGGTAGGTTATGTATATTTTCAAAAAGGTTTGTAACTAATTATAATTTCCTGAATAAGCTGGAAAGTGCTCAATTTCAAGAGGATGATTATTATAACTTATTCAGGTTTTTCACAAAGATTCTTCTAGTTGTTTCCAAATAGTTTGTGGAAAAACCAACCTTTGGGAATTAAACATTTGAGAAAAACTGAAGTGTACAATATCATCCTAAAATAATGTAGCAATTGCTTTACAAAAATCTTCATAACAGTAAGAAAAAGAACCTTTGGGATAATAGTAAAATCAAGGAATAAAATGAATACAAGGATTTCCAAACTAAACTCACCTAGATGTCTCCAAAAACTCAATTTTGTCTTATGTTGTTCAGGTCTGAGTTAAAAGAACTCATGAACACAATCATTTGTGTTTCTTTTAGTAAAAAGAAAAAAAAAAGTGTTTCCTTTACTTAAGGTATAAAATATTTCCCTCCTCCATTCTCCCCTTTTTACTTGGTAGTAAAATCCTATGATATGTCAATAAATTACAATTACAATCCATAAGCTCTTCATGGACACATATTTCTTTGCATTCTAACACACCAGGAGCAGATTTCCAGAGCCGGCCTATTCTTCTCTTTAACACTCTACCCTTCAGCTACCATCTAGTTTAGCTAAATGAAGTTGGAAGGGGAGGGAAAGCATCAGTGATCTCACTTCTCAGTTTCAATAATTTGAAACTATGACTCATCAGAGAATGACTGATACTGTGCTTATCAGCACACAGTTAAGTTTATCTATTAATTACTATGAAACCAAGACTAGCAGCCAATGAAATGAAGAACCACCTGGCCGGTCCAAATATACTGTGACCAGAAGGAAAGAGATTTCAAGTTTGCAGAAATGAGAAACAACAAAAGTCTTCTGGAGGATGATCAAAATCTTGATTTTTCAAAGATGATGGCCTAAAATGAAGGCATTTTTATTTGGCCTTACATCTAAATTATTAGTTAGGACCTTAAAAATGTCAGCTTTCCTAATAGTTCTGCAGGTATTCCTTCTCCTCTCCAAGTGTCTCTTCATGGTTCAAGCCCAATGTTTGTAGAGACTTTGATCATTCACGAGTCCTGCTAAACAAGGTAATGTCATCCTCATATCCCGAGGTTGAACATTCTATATTCTCTAGTAAGACATACTTGTCTTCATTGCCATTCAGAGAGAGGGCTTCTTTCTGAGTGGCGGATGTCAGGTCACTCCAGGTGATGTCTGTGTTTTTAAAAGCATGTAGAAGGAAGATGCCATTGATAATGGTGAAGAACCCACTCAGGGTCCCGATGATATCTCCAGCTCTCATGCCATACCATTCTTGGAACAAGATGGCGGAGCACGTCACTACCATGGTCGTAAAGAACACATAGTAAATGGGAGTCACAAGCGATGTATTAAAGGTGTCTAGGGCCTTGTTGAGATAGTTAATCTGTGTCGTCACTGAAAGCACAAGTACAGCCAGCAAAACAAAGACCAGGGGGTTCTTGTAAACTGGCTTCCATTCCAATAGTTCTTTAATGGCAATTCCCAGGCCCTTCACAGAAGAAACTGAAAATGCTCCAATCAATGAGCAGATTGAAATGTAGACTAATATGTTGGTCTGTCCTTTCTTGGGAGCCACGATCAAAATCAGCACCAAGGCGATCATGGTAATGATCACAGCAAAGGAAATGAATCCTGTTAGGAAGAGAAAAGAATTAAACTTCAGAAAATGCTCAGAGGATCATGTCTTTGTGAAGTCTTATTAGTCAGGAGTTTAGGAGCACAGGTGTTTTAGAAAGAGAAGTGAGATTAAATGAAAAACAACAACAACAACACTTGACTGCATAGCTCTTTATATTTTACAATGGACTTTCCCAAACATGTCATTTGAATCTCCCAGAAAATACTGTGAGGCATGGAAGATATTGGCTGATTGATTGACTTTTTAAAAAAAATATATATTTTATTGATTTTTTTACAGAGAGGAAGGGAGAGGGATAGAGAGTTAGAAACATCGGTGAGAGAGAAACATCGATCAGCTGCCTCCTGCACACTCCCTACTGGGGATATGCCTGCAACCAAGGTACATGCCCTTGACTGGAATCGAACCTGGGACCCTTCAGTCCACAGGCCGAGGCTCTATCCACTGAGCCAAACTGGTTAGGGCTGACTTTTTATTTTTAGAGGAGTGGCCAAATTTGGGTTGGAGCATAAGTCTTTAGCCTCTCCTCTCCCCATGTCTTCATTTCATTGTGTAGAGAGAAAGCATGGACACAAAAGTAAGTTGTATCACCTTTTCAGAAAACTTGGAATACTCAGTGAAACTTAACTGTGTCTCTTAATGCACGACTTGGATTGTAGGAAGCCTATTACAATATTATTACAAATTCATTTGATGAAGAGAGAAAGTGGAGCAGAATTTGAGTGTTTCCTTTGGTTGAAGCACTGACCTGGGTCTCTCAATTTCATTTCCATTTCATGCAAAGAAGCGACTTCCTCTTCTTGTGGGGCATGGATAACCATCACAGTTGACCCCAATATACTTAATACGCAGCCTATTTTCCCATGAATGTTCAAGTGCTCATTTAAAAAATAGGAAGATAATATTGCACTGTTGGGAGAAGAAAAATAAATGACTCTTGTCCAATTACCTTTTGATTCCATAGCAGCTCAGAAGTCACATGGTGGCAGAAGCCACTGTATCCCAATCAACTGATCTGAATGTGCTACGTGACACTGAAAACCCTGATTAGTTTTAAAACACAGAAATGACAGTCAATCGTATCTGCTTAATTGCTTTTATATCTAAAGAGTAAAATAGACATTCTATACCCCTCTAAACTTCCCATGAACTTCGAAAAAGGGCGCGCTCAATTAATTTTCAATTTTTTCCATCTTTTCCATCTTATTGGCATGATACACTTAGAATACACATGTTCATGAAAACGTTAAAGAAAGATATATGCTTAAAGATTTACTCTGCTCAGGACTGATATTTAGCTAGAACACATAAGTACAATCATATGGGTTGTCAAAATATTGAAATATCTCCTTACCAGCTGCTCCTGCCTGATACTCTCACCTACCCAATGCTCCCACTACTTTGGTTGCCATGGTCTCAGGTAGTTCCAGGTTGGCACCACCATGGACACCAGACTGTGCCATCCTGCTTCTTCACCAGCAGGTATGCTGTGGCTCCTGCACACCAGCCTCCTTCCCCTGATGCCCTGGCATTCCCACCAGGGTATTACCAGTACCCATTTGCACACGAGACTGGTCAACTACCAGGTGTTTTCTAAGAGTCGCCCTGCTGTGGCCACTTGTGAGGTCTTCAGCCTCAGCAAAAACATAGCTGTCATTCACTGTAGACTATAGACAGTGTTCTAGTGCTTTATGTGTATTGACTCATTGAATTCTCAAAACAATCCTACAAAGAAGGTGGAAAGAAGTGAGTAGGCCTCGTCATAATCTTTCCACCATAGGTTGATAATGAATGGAGATAAAAGGAAAAGAAAAACAAACAAAATAGTTGCTTAGCTACAGAATAAGAGTTCATGGGCTCATTGAACACATTCATTTGGGATCATAAGAAAGACTAAGAAAGATTAGATCCACATTCTATGAATGGGGAATTTTTCCTGTTCCCAGTACTAAAAGAAACAAAGAGACCTCCAAACAGAAGTATCCAGTAGTAGATGCAAGACTTTTAGCCAGAGTTGAAATTTAACCCAAACACTATGCTTTTTAAAAGTCCTCTAATAGCAATGGTCATTAACCACTATGACAACAGAGAGGATTAAAAGGGCCGTGGCAATTTGTTCAGGTGAGAGAGAAAAAAAAATCTGCTTTGTTGAATCGTTGAAACATAACACACAATTACTTTATGTTAGCATCAAACCAAGCTCACTCTTATAGGTTTTCTAAAAAACAGTAAGGCCATCTATTTCCTATTTCTCCTACAATTTATGGTGTAGTCTTCTCAAATTACTTTTGTGATTTCTAGATTTTGTTTTGTGATATGCTTAGCAATATGTTTCTTGTGGGGTTAAGCTTATCATGGTTTTAAAATCCCTACAGAAGCCACACTCTTTCTGGCTCACGTACCTGATGAGAACACTCAGCGCGCCCAGTGGCGTGACCAGCGTGGCAGGTGCAAAAGCATAAGCTGCAAAGTTTGCAGCCTCTCCGGCTCCCACTGGAAAGCAAGCAGCAGCATTAATATAAAAGATGGACTTACTTGTCAGGAGAGAAAAACAAATGACAGATGCAAAGCTGTAGACTATGATCCCAAAGACACTGACAAGTTGAACAAAAAGGAATAATTAACTTTTTTTAGGGAGGGAGGAGGAAGATTGGTAATAGGGATGCAGATTAACCATGATTACCTGGTGATACAAGCTCAACTAACACAAAAGGTGGTGATGGATACACATCTTAAAGGACTTTCAAGAAAGATTTTAGTTATTTCAGTACCAGAAACATATATGGTCACTGATGAAATCTAGTAGAGGTGGCTTTGGAGTAAGCAGAGAATTATTCTGTTTGCTCAAGAATAACTACTGTTATGCAAATTAACAATAAAACAACTCCTAAAATTGGAATGCCCAGTAGAGATCTACTGCCTGGGCAGGGGACAACCAGACATGCCCACCACAGGCCCATGGAGCCAGGCTTCTCTGAATTGCAGATGACCAACAAGAATGTAACACTATCTTAGTAGCTCAGGGAGATCCAAGCACCCGTTTTAAAGTCATCATAATGTGCTCCAGCAATCCCTTTTTTAGCTGAGGAACTCTAAACTTCCATGAGCTAGTGTGATGCAAATAGCTTCTAGAGTGAGAGAAAACTCCTCTAAGAGCTGGGTCTTCTATTTGGGGCCAAATTATTCTCATGGGTCACAACTGAACACCTGAACACTTGCCCACGGAATGTAGTATTTCATGCTGGCCAACTATGCAAAATAAACTTATTGTAGAGAAAGTTCTGGAACAGATGAAAGACACCAGCATACTTTTTCTTTTCTCCTCTGGCTGCTATGCCCTAGCCCCAAGCCCCCAGCCAAAAGTACAGGAGTACTTAGCTTTAGGAAAACATCATAAGACAAACAGAAATAATTAGGAGACTCCTCTCATAAGAAGAGCAATGGCAGTTTTTTTTAGAATATTAAGCTTTCTTGAATACTTTATATTTTTTATCTTTATAGATGACTTTTCAAGAAGATAAAGGGCTGTACAAATTTATTTTTATTCATCATCTTTTTAGATTCTGCCATTTGTCAAAAGTATTCCAATTCTTTCTTATAATAGGATCTCACAGATACTGCAATAGTACAGGAAAATAAATGGAAGTTTTAAGGTTTCTGGCTACAGATGTAGATGACTAGCAACTGGTGTGAAACTGCAATGTATGAGGCCCTTTCTTTGGAAGTTAGAGGTTCGGGATTTAAGAAAGTTCAGAGGCATTAGGAGGGAGGTAGAAATCTGCAGAGGGGCCTGAGGGAGGTAAATGCCTTCTATTTGGACATCACCTTGGCATTTAGAAAGAACTTTCAGATGCTACAGAGCATTTAATCCTCAGAGCACGTTTAGGAGAAAGGGGAGTGCTGACAACCTCCATCTCTCCCTTTCAATGATTTTCAACCTTTTTCATCTCATGGCACACATAGACTAATTGCTAAAATTCTTCAGTATACCAAAACATATATTTTTTTGCCCATCTGACAGAGAAAATAGGTATAATTTTGATTCATTCACACTAAATGGCTATTGTTGGGTTGGCTGTTGTCATTTTATTTATTTGACAATCTAAGGGAAAAGAGGTCAGTGCCCCTGACTAAATAGTCAGGTATTGCATGTTTTAAAAATTCTAGCGGCACACACCAGGTGAAAATCACTGCTCTATCTGTTTAGTTGCCAAGCAGTCAGAGGGGACTTGAATTTATCCCTGTTTTGGTCCTGGCCAGGAAAATGTACCCATTCCTTAGAAAATATGTAGCTAGAAGAGTCCCAAATTTTAATTCAGTGCTGGGAAAATGTGGGGGGAAAGCATTTTCTTCAATTATTATGGAGAACAGAATAAGAGAAAGAGAAGTCCATGATAAAATATAACACTTTACATGTTAACTTTTCCCTTTGCATTCCAAGATAGTATTGAGAACATGGAGTGGGGAAGAAGGATAAAAAAAAGTTTTAAATAAATATGACTTATTTTATATATAAGGCAATATGTTATACTTGCAAAAGTTGCTAGACTTAAATGCCATCCTTACCAGGCAGTTAAATCAATCAATTTAAAATAATTCCATGTAATCTATTTATCATTTTGCAAGCAAACACTATTCTCAGCATTAAGGACTTACTTGAGAGTAATCCTGCCCACCAGAGCCATTCCTTGAGGTAGGAATGTCCACCTTGACCTAGGAAAAATAATAAAAATGGAAAGTAAGTTCTTTTTTAAAACACATTTTTAAAATATATTTTAAAAATATTTTTATTGATTTCAGAAAGGGAGAGGGAGGGATAGAAACATCAATGATGAGAGAGAATCATTGTTCAGCACAACCCTTTTTGGGGATCGAGCCTGCATGTGCCCTGACCAGGAATTGAACCGTGACCTCCTGGTTCATAGGTTAATGCTCAACCACTGAGCCACACTGGCTGGGCAAAATTAAGTTCAAACGTGAAGGAAGGTTTGGAGAATTGACTTCTAGCTACTGGAATATGGTTGGAAAAGGCAAGATTAAAGCTATATCAGTATACTTAGTCTTTTAGCCTATTTACGTGGCCATTTCCAAAGATCCTCTAACACTTTCTAGTATTATATTTTGCAATATTTTACCCAAGTCATTTTCTTTCTAGTTTAGGTGTTTAGTTATAGGTGTTGCCATATAGATTTTTTTTTCAATACAGATCATCTCTTCCTTTATATAGAATAGTTTCTTCTTTTATCTCTATGCTAAAAAGGCCTTTTATTTTTTTAATTTAACTCTAACCTATGTATTATTTATTTTGATGAATGGTATAGAGTAGAACTTTGATATTTTCTTCCTCTAATTTTTGCCACTTGTCTCAATACTTTTGATTGAATAAGACATCCTTTCTCCAGTAGCTCAAAATGCCACTTTTAAAAAATCATACATTAAATTGTTGTATGTACTTGGGTCCCCTTAGACATTTTTAGTTATCTTTTATTGTTTTGTCTTTTTAAATTAAGATAGCACTATCGCATGTTCTATTTTCTGGTGGTGTAAATCTCCCCTCAATAGTACTCTTTTATAAACTTGCTTGCACAATTTATAGTTATTTATTTTTCCATATGAACCTTAGAATAATATTTAGCTCTGTTATAATATTATTCTTGATAAGAATGAATATGAAATTCATGGTTAATGAAGGATAGTCAAGCAGAACTATTTAGCATGTTAAATGTCAGTATTAACAGCAACCTAATTCTATGGCTATCCATTTGATTTAACAAATATTTATTGGGTGGCAAACACTATGCTAGGGAAGGCTCCTGTTCTTGTGAATCTACTATTAATAAATAATTAAACCCATTGACAAGTAAACAAACAATAAATGTACAAGGACAAGTTATTCTAGGTACAATGAAGGAAACCATTAGTGCAAGGACAGAGCATGCTGGTGTGGGAGACCTGCCCAGAGAGAATGGTCAAGGAAGGCCCTTTTGGGGTGATGGTATTTAAGCTGAGATCTCAAGGAGGAGTCAGGCAAATGAAGGGCTGGGAGAAAAGAGTTCCAGGCCGAGGGGAAAGACTTGAGGTGGGAAAGAACTTGGTATATTCCAGGAACCAGAGAAAAGTAGGTGACTGGGAGCGTAGGGGAAGATGAAGCTGGGGAGGTAGCAAGGACCAATTCATGCAGGAGGTCAGAGTCTGTGGGAAGATGTTAAATTGTATCCCGAGCACAGGATCTGACTTTGACCCTGAGCCTGCAGAATAAAGCTATGAAAAGAAGAACCTGTACTACACTCCAAACTTCTAGAAACAAGAATTTTAGACTTTCCCTAAAGGAGACACAGCTGGTTCAATCCTGGAAACTGCTGAGAAAAGAACTGCTACCAATGTAGATAGCTACAATAAATAGACAGGAGCATGATGACCTTAAAATAGGGTTATTCCTGCAGTTAGCAACTTGAATTCGTTAGTTGCATCCGTTTCTTACCAGCTCTAGTAACGCCCTTGTTGGCCAGTTGCAAGAGGCCCTTCTTTTTCAATATGAAGCTGGAGCCAATAAAAATACTGGAACTTACAGCCAGGACCAGGCCCACATAAAGACTGTACTTGTTTTCTACATTTGCAGAAATGCTCAAGTTGGTTAGGCTGGAATTCAGGTCCCTGTGGAGGACAGGAGAAGCCAGCAGCTGTGACACATTTGTGATCTCACACCAAGCCTGGGAGGAGTTTGGACAGACCAAAGACAGCACGTAGCCTGGAAAAAAAGGAAAGAAGAAAATGTCAACAAACAATAGGGAGATGCATTCATGTTTACTCCCCTTCTGCAAGAAAGAGAAACTTGAGTGGACAGCACTGAAACTCCATTTTCTATTGCACGAAGGGAAGTGCCCAGCAGATGGTGCACATGCTTGATTTGGCTGACATAGGTCCTTAAAAAATGTTTAAATTTGTTTACTTTTTATTATTTAAACTAGAGGCCCAATGCATGAAATTCGTGCAAGGGGCTCGGCCCTTGCAGCCATGGTGGCTTGCCTTGGCCCTCGCAGACTTTCATCCAGAAGGTCGTCCAGAAGGATGTCCGAAGGTCGTTCAGCTGTCTGGTCTAATTAGCATATTACTATTTCATTATTATTTAAATATGAGAGATTGTACATCAAAGTCTGGGCTCCTCTTATAAATTGGAAACTTTTGGCAATAGTTGGTTCTTTGTTCTAGAAAAACAGTAACCTGCTCCAGCAGCAGGAAGCTGCTTAGATCTGGCTTGCACTCAGAAATTCATCACAGTTCCCAACTCCTCCCCCCCGTCCCCCCACATCCACTTCTCTCCTTCACAGTGTCAGTCTGTCACCTGGAAAGCAGTGTCTGTGACACCTGAATGTCGGGAAAGGGAACAGCAACCCATTGGTCCAGAAATCACCACCTTACAAGAATTTAGTTAAAGCATTTGGTGGGGTATGAATTGTGCACTTCAAAAAATGTGTTTAAAAATGGGTTCCATTTTCTGTACCACATTCCCTGAAGGGAATGATTTTTCAGGCCCACTAACCCACCTCTGCCTAAATAAAATAGAACCTGAAAGAAAAATGAGTTCACCATCATTAGGCTTTATTTTAGAGCTAGAGGCCAGGTGCAAAAAAATTCATTTACTGGGGAGTGGGGGGGGGGCGGTTGTCCCTCAGCCTGGCCTGTGCCCTCTCACAATCTGGGACCCCTCCGGGGATGTCTGACTGCTGGTTTAGGCCCAATCCACAGGGATCAAACCTAAACTGGCAGTCGGACATCCCTCTCGCAATCCAGGACCGCTCGCCCCTAACCACTCGCCTTCCTGCCTGCCTGCCTGCCTGCTCACCCATAACCGCTGGCCTGCCTGCTCAGTGTGCATCATAGCAACCGGTCATTCTGCCTTAACGGTCGCTTCGGCTTTTATATATATAGATGGGATTCAAGTAAGCATGTAAAGTTACTGAACACAACCCATTATTATTGAAAGGAGTTTTTAGGGGTAAAATAGTCAGGTTTAGGGAGTCTTAGGAATTAAGAGGCCCATGGGGAAGGGAGGCACAGTTGGTTGGGAACTTGAAGCTGGCAAAAGGCATAAATTCACAAAGAAGAGAAGGTGCCACAAAATAAGGGGAGAGGAAGACACCCATTCACAGAAGATAAGGGGAAAGACACAGGGAGTAGAGAAACAAGAGGGAGAAAGAGGAAAATAGATTTTTCACATGGTATAGAGAATTCTACCACTGAAGGGGGGAGAGAGAAAGAGGGTCCCCATGTAGGGTTTGAGCTTTGAAGCTGCTATAGTGACCAATAAGAAGGGAGCATCAAAAGACAAAGAACTTCAGCCTTTATAAGCCTTAGGAACAAAGGGCTCAGTGGACTACCCCTTTGGGGACCCCTTCACCACGTGGGAGTCTGTACTTGTTCCCAATCAATTTCCACCTTTTCATATGCCACCTTTTGTCCGTGGCTTCACTCTTCGAATCCACCTGGACAAGAACCCAGGAAAGAAATCACCTTTGCTTGCTGCCCAGAAAAAAACCACGTGTTTCAGTTTGGCTTCCGCATTTCATTATATAAGTATCTTGGAATTTTAAGGCTAAACACTAAAACACCAAATGGAAACATTTGACACTATATTGCAAACTTTTTGTAATCTGTTCTCTACTTAAAAAGCTGTCAACAGGTGACATCGTGATTAGATTTTTTTTTACTGTCTTCTCAACTTTTTTTTCATTACAAAGCCACATTTTCTCATTTTGAATTATCCTAAAAAAAAAGGGCAAAGAAAAATTAATCAAGTAACAAGTTTAGAATTGAATAAAAAAAATCAGTTTTACATCTCAAAAATCTTAAGAATGCATAACAAACTAAAACAAAACAACAAAATCAGTTTGATCAAATGATGTCTTACCAACAAAACTTTAATAATTGGATGGATGCCTCCCTGTCAAACATTATGAAGACATCTGAATTTTACTACATATAAAGTTATGAAGCAACCAAAAAGTTCAGGTCAAGAAAAAGGTAAAAAAAAATGTGAATTTAAGCTTTCCATGATTATTATTTCATTTATCTCTGCAACTTGAAGATGAATCAACTTTGATTCAGAGATAGAGGATAAATTCTGAGACAAAAGTTATATTCTGAGGAAAATTGTATAGTCTGCGGTGTTTACCTATGCCGCCATCTTGGTCCTATCTACTTCAAGGATATTCTATATCATTGACAAATTTTCAGTCAGGTTGTCTTACTAAGAACTGCAGTAAGTTTTCAGACAAACTAGACCTGTTCTGGGCACTGTTCATTTCATTTAAACCCCAAGAATGGAAAGTCATTTTAATAGTAAGAATTTCCATTGGTTTAATTCATGAGAAAACATGTGATTGACTTCCCAGTAGATTCCATGGCTACATTAATGTCACTTTCTGTGCAGTAACATAACCATTCCAAAACTTCATCTCTGAAAACAGTGTGGGTGGACCTCATTCCAGTGAAACAATATTCTTTTTAAGCTGTTGACACAGCAAAATGTTTCCAACATTTTAGGGGGTGTGGGGGCAGAGGGTGATAAGGGACAGCAAATAATCTTTGTTGCATTTTGTAAGTTCTCATTGTAAGTGGCAGACATTAATGCTGCATGTTTTATGGCAGGCCAAATAATAAAAATCTTGTCTAGTTACTGACCTTAGAACTTATTTTATGTTTTGGGTGTATGTTAAGGAGAGAGCTTTCAGCAGATGTGACTGAAGGAGGGAGTGAGGGAGGAGATGGTGAGTTGGTGGGTGTGGAGTGGAGAGCAGCAGGGGCGAGGAGGGTGAAACAGGATATGTGGGCAGGGACTTTGGAGTGTTCCAGAGGAATCAGAAAAATCTCCAAATCAGAGTTGGCTTTTTAAGATTTGTGTGAGCAAAGTAATTATATGGGGAATTTAATCCAAATTTTATTCGACATAGAAAGAAAATTTATTACATTCATTATTTTTCATTTTAATCGACACTGCCAATAACCCTCTAAAGTGATTGTACCAACTTATACTCCTGCCAGCAGGGAGCATACATTAGTTCTTTGATGTTGTTATTACTTAGTTTTCTAAATATTAACTAATATTTAGAAAATATGTGTCAGTTATAAAGAAAAACAATTCAATAGACACTAATGAATCAACCACCCAATTTAAGAAATAAGACAGTACCCCCTCAGAGGTAACGACCATCCTGATTCTCCTTTGCTTAAAAAGTTTTCCCTGTGTGATTATATCTTCAAACAATAAATTTAGTTTTGCCTGTTTTTGCACATATAAAATATAATCATTCTGTATTCTCTGGTGACCTGCTTGTTTTTGAGATTTATTGATGTAGATGCATATGGCTAGGGGCCCCCCCCCCCCCAGTGTTCTATAGGATCCCACTGTATGACTATCTCACAATTAATTGTTGTTTTATTGTTGGTGAACATTTGGGTAATTTGCACTGTTTTTGATTTTACAAACAGTATTGATAATTTCTCAACTATGTTGAAACATATGTACTTGATATATGACAATTGTTGATGCTACAAAAATAGCAGTTTCATATGGTTCAACTTAATATATATCTTCTATGTATAGGTGTGAGAGTTTACTTACACACACACAATTTAATAATTTAAAAACAATATTACATTTCCTATAGGAATATATGCCTTTTCCCTTAAGCTCTATTACTATCTGTAATTATGGGCAAGTTGAGTAATCAATCACTCTTAGCTTCAGTTTCCTTATTTCTAAAATGAGGGCATTTGACTTGATTCTGAAGATGCCTTCTATAATTTGGTGGTTTGATCATAAGCTATCTTTGTTCCAGAATAATTTATTGATGATCCTGGTAGCTCATAAATGTTGCCAATGGACCAGCTCTAAACTCACAAGCACTTTTAGTTGGAAGGCATTTTAAAGAAACAGATGCCAGGATATTAAGTGACTTGCCAAAGTCATGTAACTGCCCAAACCAAGACCAAGTAGCTATAGCTAATGTTGAGAGAGAGAGAGAGAGAGAGAGAGAGAGAGAGAGAGAGAGATCAGTGCAGCACCAATTTCGAGCCAGAGGGGAACAGAAGCTATGCTGGACTCATGTACTGCAGCTCTGGGTCCTGGCCTTTCTCCTGGACTGGTGGGGACAAGTGTGTGCCTGTGGCCCCAGAGGCTGTACTTTTGCATCGAGATGGAGCTGAGCCACCTGGTCATGGGTGAGACATCGGGCACGGTGTGCCTGAGGGCAGTTCTTTGTTTTCTCTCAAGTATATCTTGCCACTGTACCTCAAATCCTCCTATGTGTGCATTCCTGAAATGCATTTTCTGTAATACAGTGGAATGATCCTAGTTCCTCTGGCAATACCACAAGAAGGAGACAAATCCAGATGGACATGTAGCCTGATGCAGAGATACCCAGGGAACCCAGTCGACATTAGTCAACTATCAGCTTAACTGCAGACACATAAGCATGAATATACAGGGTGAGGCAAAGCAGATTTACAGTTGTGAGTATGGAAAACAGAGTTTATTATTGTATTATTATTTATTAATGATTGTACTGTTTTCAATACAAACAACTGTAAACCTACTTTTGCCCCACCCTGTATGATTGTTATTTTAGCCACTGAGTTTTGGGTTGTGTGTTATGTAGCAATAGCTGACTGACACACCTACCTATTCCCATTAGCAAAGTAAAGGATGAATGAAATTTCCTTGTGTCCCTAAATTTATTCTGCAGATAACATTTTTATTGAGTGTCTATTATCTGCCAGGCATTTTCTAGAAGCTGGGGATACAACAGTGAACAAAAGAACATTCCTACTCTCTTATAGTCATTCTAATGAGGGGAAAATAAGATAGACAAATGAACTAATAACTACATAATATGCTGAGTGCCATGGACAGTGGTAAAAGCAGCATAAAGACATACTTTTTAAAAAACAACATTAAATGTAAAACCTCTCTGCTAAGTATAAATGCAAAAATCTTGAGGGGGCAGTTTGCTTGCAGGTAGGAGGGACTGCAATCAGACAGGCTGGCTGGGCTGAGTGATCAGGTTGAAGGATAGCAGAGGACAAGATCAGGTGAAAAGAGCCTTTACATAAGTAGGTCCGATGTTGTCATTTCTGCTTCCCAAATTCTACAATGGCTTCCCTCCTCATTCAGAAAAAATATCCAAAAGTCCCACCACAGTTTACAAGGGTCTACAGAATCCTGCCTCCAGCTACCTCTGCAACCTCATTCCCTACTATTGTTTTTTTTTTCTCTGTTCCTTTCTTAGGTTAAGTTTCTTCTCACCTTAAAACTTTTAAGTAACCCTTACTTAGCCTGAGTAGTGAAGTAGTAGCTGGCTGATGAGGAGCTACCTCCTCAGAGAGACCTTCTCGGTCTTCCCAATCTAAAGGAACTTCTCAGTCAAGTTCCATCATATCACCCTACTTAATCCTGCCAAACAAACTTCTCACAGTTCAATTATGGTTTTATATAGAACAGTATTGTATATCCGTAAAGCTTTTCCATTAATTCATTCAACAAAATAGTTGTTGAACATCTACCACACAAACATATGTTAGGTATTCATTTATTCAACACTTAGTGAATTCTTACTGAGTACTTCCTGTGTGCCGTGCCCTGTTCTAGGAACCTGCAAGATAGTGATCAACAAGGTAGGTAAACAGGTTTCTGTTCTCACAGAGCTGATGATTTTAGTGAGAGAACAAACAGAGGAACAGGAGTAAGGGGAGCAGAATAGAATGAGTAATAATTTTGAGTAAATTCGGAAATCATTCATAGTAGACTACATATCAACTCTGTTAGGATGAGGAAGAAGCCCATTATTTCAATTAACCAAAATAAAATTGAAAAAATACTATTGATTTTTTTTTAAGTTAAAAACCTGTATCTTCCCACCATCAGTGTGTTTGGAAGCTAAGAATTCCAATAATTAACGATCAGATTTCCTACATAAACTGTTGTTTTCACTTTGCAATCTGTATATTACTAAAGTCACTAAACTGTTAAGATAAAATTCCCATAAAGTTAATAAATGATTAATGAATGAAGATGCAGGAAAAGAACCCAAGGACTAATATTGCAATAAGGATGCATTTATATCAAGGTTTTTAAACCTTGATACAGTTCATATTAAATATTAAACTAAGCAATTAATAGTATATTGTTTTCTGAACAAACTTTAATGGGAAATTTTTACTACCTTTAAGCACTTTTAAATTTCACCACTTAGAAAATCTCTGGAAGGCTGGGAAAACAACTTGTGCAAAAACTTAAACTTGTAGTAAAAATCAACATATAAGCCACTATATTTTACACCGAAAATACAGCTTGTCCTGATAATACAGGTTGTGTTCATTTGGTGGAATTTTGAGACATGTTTACAATATGGATGTTTTTAAAGACTAAAATCTCAGAATCATTATACTGTATACCATTGAACCAAGAGGCCAGAGAATGGAGATGGGCTCCTACAGAAAAAATAAAGGCCCCAATAATTTTGTGCTTAGTTTGATCACTAATTATGAAACCTTATTCAATTCTCTGGGCCTTGGTTTCTGTATCTGTGAAAGGATATAATGGTTACCTAATAAAACTCACAGAATTGAACATGTGTGAGGGCAAACTGGTATATTTTTACGTTAACCTGTTTTGAAAATTTAGGATTCTATACATGGAAAAAAACAGATTATATACATGAAAGTGGGACACAACGCTCATCAGTACATGAGAGATATAGCCAGTTCTTAAAGAAGTGCACAGTTCCTGAATCTTCTCCTCTCAAAACCATGAAGATAGGCTGCATCAATTCTAAAACCACCTGTCATTTGTCACTCTTCTGGTTGGCTGCACCCTGGGAAGGTGGCTCACTCAAAGAAAACTTGGAAAACCACTGGGTCCCTCTCCATCTCCAATCCTCCCCACTGCCAAACCAGGTCAGAATTCTCAGGAAGGTGCCTTGGTGTCCCCTGGCACACGGTCTTCATGCAGTTGGTGCTTCACAGGTGATGGGTGTATTTCTTACATTCTATTTTCATCATGTCATACTTTCATGTTAATAAAGCTCTATTGGAGTCAAATTAAAACATGTAAGATAGGTGACATAATGTAAAAATCCCGAATTAAAAAAATAACCTTCATGTGTGTTTAAATTTAATTTTTTGAGATAATTTTGGATTAGAAGGCCTTCTAAAGCATCTATAGTGTTCAAAGTAAAAACCACACTACGGGGTTCACTCTTTCTGCATTAAAGTACAACCAGAATGCTCTATCCTCAGGTCTTATGATGGACTCCTTGTCATTTGGGTCTCAGTGCATATGTTTCTTTCTCTAAGGAGTCTTCCCTGTGTACCCGGTCTGAACATCCCAAGTTTCTCATTACATTATCCATGACACTCACCACTCTTGTCCTTTTTTAGTCATTGGTTTCTTGCATATTATCTGTCAAATAGACAGTTAGCTGCATGGGAGCAGGGACCTGGCCCTAATGTCTAGATCAGACTCTCTTGCAAATTCCTCTGTACTAGCCCTAGGCAGATGCCTGGTACATGGGACTTATTAAAATTGAGACCTTACTCCATGTCAGGCTCCCTATGTAATCCCACCTGTTTCTAATCCTCACAACTGTAAACTGTAGGAATTATTCCCAATTTTTAGACCAGTGATTCCCAAAGTGGGCGCTACCGCCCCCTGGTGGGCGCTGCAGCGATCCAGGGGGGCGGTGATGGCCACAGGTGCATTTGTTTTAACTTTTTTTGTATTACCTTTCTATTCTGAGTTCAATAAATAGTTTCATAATTTCAAACTTCAATGTTTCTAATTTACACCTTTCTTTACTATATTTTACGAAAAAGGTAGAAACATTAATACATATATCTTTCTGTTTAATTGCTATTAAAATTTAAAAAAAATTAATTTCCAGGGGGCGCTGAGTAATATTTTTTTCTGGAAAGGGGGCGGTAGGCCAAATAAGTTTGGGAATCACTGTTTTAGACGAAGAAAGATTCAAGGAGGCTGAAATCATAGCTGAGAAGACAGTCTGATGCTCAAGTCTAACCCCCTTCCCACCACTACTGACAATGTGGATTCCGAATCTTTCCCCCCTGTCTCCCACACACTAATTACCACAATTAACCACAGGGATGAAGCACTGAGCTTAAATATTTCTTCTTGGAACTAAATGTATTAGCAAAGCAGGGAAAACATCAGGAAGTTCAAACAAGCTGGTGGAGCCCACACACCCTCCTCACAGATCCTTGGGTAAACAAGGGTGGATGGGTTAGTAGCAATTTAACTTATTGGTTTAGGAATTATTTTGACAAAGGTCACACAACCTGACTATCTAGGAAATCTACATCCAGCTGCCTTAGTAACCTCTTCCAAAATCTCAGCTTTTGAAGAGTTTGTGAACGGTTCAGGCATTTTCTCTTTCTTTGTGTCCCTTTTCTCTCTCTCACCATAGTTTTGACTTTTGACTAGTTCACTGCCTTAAAAGCAAACAACAACAACAAACCTCTCCAAATCCAGGAATAAGCTGGAGGGACCAAGAGGAGAGAAAACCCGGGAAGTTGCCAGCAACTTTGGGAAAGGCATATAGTTCCTGTCAGGCCCTTCACTGTCCTCTCTGCCTATTTACATTCTCATCAGATAAATTACAAGTTGCCTTTATGTGAAAACCGTCACAATTTCCAGCTGATACACACTCTTCCTGTCGCACCCACACCCACCAGCCCCAATTTCCGTCCCGGTTCGGGGCTGTGACGTGCCCTGTGACTGCAGACAGCCTGCGGGTGTTGTAAATACCTGGGCGCGGGCAGGGGCTGAAACCCCAGCCCAGCGAGCAGTACGAAACCGACTCATGACTGTGCCCAGTTCTCTTCTCCTCTCGGTTGGGCTCTCGCTTCAAGCAGCCAAGAAGTGACTGCACAACGAGTCAGACGCGAGAGTAGTGGGACCGGGGACTTCTCATCTGGAAGTGAGAGATGTGGGCGGCCCAGGCGGGTCGCGCGCTCCCCCGCGGTCCAGGGCGCCTGACCTTTCGCAGCCACGGAGGGCGCAGCACAGGACTCCGGTCCCCGGGCACGCCCTCTGGCCACTGGATGACGGCGACAGAGGACTCTGGAAGTGAGTCAGAGTGGCTGCAGGCGTCTTTCTCAGGTGAGACTTGGAAGTCTTCCCACAGCATCCTGAATTCCTCCGTCGTAAGACTCAGCATATTGTAATTTACAGGAATCTCCCTTCCGCCCTGGGGTGGGAGCCACGCAGGTCTTGTTCGGCTGACACGGGCTTCCCCACCGAGACTGGCACGTTGTAGGCGCCAATAAGTAGCTGTTGCCTGGCTGGGTACTGGCTGAGCGACTGGATGCATGCATGCACGGTGAATGCATCAAGAGTCGGTGTGAGTCCCTTCCTCGCCTCTGCAAGGACCCGGGACAGCCCATTCGATCTCATCGCCACCCAGATGCCAGGTCCCCCGGCTCGGGGCAGACACTCACCTTCTCGGCAGGGCTCTCCGGGCGGCAGCCTCACCTCTCCCCCCATGGCCCCCAGGCGGGCTTCCCC